CCCCAAAACCCCAAAACCCCAAAACCCCAAAACCCCTCTAGAATCAATTTTATTGATTAAAAGTATTCAGAATCATCTAAAGCTGGAAGAATCTTTCCGACACAGTCTCCAAATCCAACAGTGTATCCATCTCCTTTACAGACTCCTGTCATATGGACTGAGTCTCCATCTTTGAGGAATACTCTTTCTTCATCATTTCCAAGAGAAACCTTTTCTTTACCTGCCCAAGAGAGTTCTAGTAATCATCCTCTCTCTGATTTTTCAGTGCCACTAATAGTTCCAGAGCCGAGGAAATCTCCTGTGCTCATATTGCATCCAGTTACAGCGTGATGAGTCAATTGTTGGTTAACATTCCAGTACAAATGCTTGAAATTGCTGAGACAAACTTCATGCGGAGCATCCATGTTCTCTGACTGGATTCCCACGTGAAGGTCGATGTTATAGGTTGAAGGATTATCTTCCCTCAAGTATGGCATTGGCTCTGGGTCTTGATCCTGGTGGGCAATTTTGAATGGCTCTAAAGCTTCAAGAGTGATAATCCATGGAGATACAGTAGAAGCAAAGTTTTTTGCATTGAATGGTCCAAGAGGAACATATTCCCAAACCTGAATATCTCTAGCACTCCAATCATTCAACAAGCTTAGTCCAAAGATATGATCAGAGGCATTTGCTATCTTGATTGGCTTTCCAAGTTCGTTCCCTACTCCAACATAAGCTCCCATTTCGAGTTCAAAATCTAATCTCTTACAGTCGCTCCATGTTGGAACCTTCTTATCGGCTGAGACTTGCCCTTTTGGTCTTCTTACATCAGTTCCACTGACGACAACTGAGGAAGCTCTTCCGTGATATCCAACCGGTAAATAGGTATAGTTTGGCTGAAGGGCATTATCTGGACCTCTAATCATGCATCCAACGTTATATGCATGATTCTTTGATGAATAGAAATCTGTGTAGTCCTTGATATCAACTGGGAGGGTCATCTCAACTTTATCAAAAGCAAAGAGAGCTTTGCTCTTTCCATCTTCATCATTCTCAAATGATGATCCTTCAGCAAATAAATTCTGAATTGTGGCCCTAGCTTCAGTCCATGATGGTCTTCCTAAGGCCATGAAAGTGTTGAGGAACTCATGTTTGAATACATTTTCACTCTTGAGGTTATCTCCTGAGAAATGACCCAAATCATGGAGCGCTGCTAAATCAACAACAAAATCTCCAATTCTAGTGCAGCAATGAATCTCATTACTCTCTGGGTTCTTGAAAGTACCATAGGGAATGTTCTCCAATGGGAAGTGATGCTCAGAGGTATACTCAACGAAACTTTTTAATGCAGATCCTGACTCCATGTTTGCAAATCTATTAAATTACTAATAAAATTATCTTGGAAATCCCTATATCGATAAATGGGGTTTTGGGGTTTTGGGGTTTTGGGGTTTTGGGGTTTTGGGGTTTTGGGGTTTTGGGG